CCTTTAAAGTAGGATTTGGTTAACGACTTAACGTAGCAGTACATACAGCTGCATCAATTTATTCCTAGTAAAACACACACACACATTGAACTGCGAGTTGGCCTCGATGTTAAATAGTACGGAGGGAAACCTTTCACCAAATATAATCGATTTTCAGGCAAATTAGATTATCCATTTTCAAAACAAAAAGAATATATATAAGCTATAAATTATACAATTATATAAATAATCAAAACATCGTCTTTTTTTTTTTCCAGCACCTAAAAACATCGTCGGACACTCGTACTCCAATTATCGTGGTAAATGTAAATAAAATGCCTCCACTTATCTAGAGGCTATTGGACCGCCTGAGGACGCTCCAAAGTCTGCAGCCATAGGAGAGCCACGTTGCCAGTTTTGGCCATGTGAGGGCATGCGGATTCCAACTTTCCGGGGCAACAGCACCGTCCAACAAGGCAGAAAAAACATGGCATGAGAAATTTATAGTGTCAAATTAGCTTCGCCTACAAAATTTAAATTGAAGAAAAGAGGAGATTTTAAGAGTTGGATAATATTTTTAAAATGAAAAAGAATATATCATATTTTCGCTCCTTATAATTTCGTTCAGCTCTCAATTTGAACCCTGTCTAATTTTATGTGCAATCAATTCACGGGTCAGAACCATAGCGTCTCATGAAGAGTACCAAATGTAAGTGAGAAACATTTAAAACCGAAGGGGAAAAAACTGTAGTACCACTTACTCCAAGGAGAGAATATTAATAATTAATGCATTATAAATCATAAATGAATTAAGAAAATATGAATCTTTCAATTAAGGATCATACCTCCAATTATCTAGAAGCTTATGGAACATCCTAGTCTCCACCAAACTCAGGTAACTCAAAAGTCCTCAAAGCGCCAACTTGGTCTGCAACCATTATAAGCCTCAGATTCACAGAGCGGCACCTTCTGGTCCATAAGAGAGCCACGTCTCTTGCTTTTGCCATGTGTGGACAAGCGCACCCACGTGAACCAATTAACTTTAGGACCCCAATTCCTCATGACGTGGAACCAAAATATCCACCACAATACTTGCATCTTCTTTTCTATATAAGCACGCTCACTTCCTCCTTCAATTACAATAGGTTGATAACGCAAGAAACTAGCCATACAGTTAGTGCAAAAATATTCAACTGCAAAATTTTCATCACATTCCAGTTAGAATGGCTGCCTCATATGCTATTCAATCTCTCTTGGCGAGCCCTGTGACTCGCCTTTCAAACAGGTCCAGGGTGAACCAGCTTGGCGTTCCAGCAGCATACATGCCAACCCTGCGCAGGAATGTCAGTCTCAGAGTTAGATCTATGGCTGAGGTAATTGCTTTGCATCAATTCTTATATCCTTATGAACATGAACACACACTTGTGTGATGCAAGACCTAGCATTAACAAGGAGAATCTAATGGGATAATATTCTAGCTGAAGTGATTAACCAAGCAGACGCTGGTGAAAATGGGTAATATCATTTTGACTGTTTCTGTTAATTGCAGGAAGAGACGAAAGGGGAGAAAACAAGCCCTGCTACATCAGCGAGGTCAGAGCCTCAGCCATTTTCTTCTCCCTCACCCAAGAAAGTAAGCCACCAAGCCCTGTGTAAATAAGTTTACTCTTTAATCCTTGAGAAACTTTTTCTGTCCCGGTTACTTTACTATCCTTGTCGGAGAAGGGCGAAAGGAATAAACTTAAATATTAAATATGCGGGAAAATATATTTTAACCCCAAATCTTCCTTAGGGTTCAGCAAACCATATGCATTTCGTTCTAGAAATTCATTGAAATCGCTCATGAATTTTCTGTATTACGAAGTACAAATGCGTAAAACGACAAACTTGGATATAGTCATATAGATATTTTTTTTCCGAGTGAATCATCATATAGATATTAACGGAAGAGACAGAAGATGAAACTGGCGGATGCATATGAAATTTATTTTTTCCTTAATGACTGTCACTGGTACTTTATAACTAAGTTCTGATATAAGAAGATTGATGTTAACTTATCACCGTGAACGGAAGCAGGTGAGCACAAAATTCTCGGACGTTTTGGCATTCAGCGGACCAGCACCGGAGAGGATCAACGGGAGATTGGCGATGATAGGGTTTGTGGCGGCAATGGCGGTGGAGGTAGCGAAAGGGCAAGACGTGTTCGCGCAGATCGCCGACGGAGGAATCCCGTGGTTCTTGGGGACAAGCATCATCTTATCGCTTGCATCGCTGATTCCATTGTTCAAAGGAGTGAGCGTAGAATCAAAGTCTCAATCATTCATGTCTCTGATGCAGAGCTCTGGAACGGCAGATTCGCGATGCTGGGATTAGTCGCACTAGCTCTCACTGAATTTGTCAAAGGAGGAACCCTAGTGTGATTTTAGTTTACTTGCTTTGTAACTATAACAATTATTACAATTAATGTTTTTTTTTTTCCCGCCAAGTATCTATTAAATGAAATGTTGAAGATGTGAGAATCTTCTTTGACCATACCCTTTGCATATTTGCTCGACAAAAATGAAGGAAAAAATTGCTGTTTGTAAAGTATAATTAGTCATGCTTTTGAACTGGTTAAATTAAATATGTACAATTTTTACTCAATTAATATACGTGGGGGGAAAATGTAAGAATTTCAGTTGAACAATGTTTTCTTTAATGAAACTATTTGTTCAGATCAATAATCTGGCGAAACATGTCACCTCAAGAAGTTTAATCTGATATGTTTTTTTATTTGTTATTTTTTTAAAAAAAATCAAATGCCCATCCTTCCCTGTTTCTCTCTTTTCGACCGTAAGCTTTCTCTTCGTCTCTTTTCTCGAACTCTCTCTCTCTCACTTTTTCTTCTTTACTGTGTTTTTCTGCTCCTCTTCTTTCATTTTCACTCATCTTGCCTCCCTTCCCTACGTCTACGTCTCCGAGAAATTCTTACATGCTTCAAGAGCACCACATCATTTATGCTGCGACAAATCAGAATTTACCACATCAATAAATTTAATCTGACGTGGAAGCTTATCTGTTATTTTTTCAACCTCTCTCTCCTCCGCCACTTTTTTCTCTTCATTTTTTTAGAAATCCTCTCTCCTTGTTAATCTCTTTCCCTCCTCAAACTGCATCCCTACTGACCAAATGCAGAGTGGCGTCCTTTCCTCCTTTTGCCCAACAGAAATAAAAATACCAAACAACGCATAAACTTCAGGCTATAGATTTAGGTTGAAGAAGATCAATTCTTCCCTCATGTTTAGCTCTGAAATGGGAACCAACGAGATTTAAGAACATGAAAGAGAGGAAAAGATGTTAAAAGTTGAAAGAGGAAGACATTGATGTACAAGAATGAGCGAATGAAGGAAGGGTCGGAATCTGCCAAGTGAAGAGAAGCATACTCCAGGGAGTCAATGACGGCGGGGATCGGAGGAGGTAGGGCTGGGGGAAATGACGGTGGGAGGAGTTGGAGGGCGAAGACGTAGAGGTAGGGAAGGGAGGCAAGATGAGAGAGGATGAAGGAAGAGGAGCAGAAAAACAATTTGTTCAGAGCAATAATCTTTGTAAATACCAGAGCGCGTTCCAGAAATTACCCACTAAAGAAAAATTTTAATAGTTTTCAGTTTACCAACCATGATCGAAATGGCGACGGTGAGCAGTCGACTTTTTTCAAAGCATCAATATGCAATTAAAGGTTATTTAATAACTATGAAATCAATATTTATGACAGATAAATAATGATAAAAAAAAAATATTATAACATGATGTCATATTCTTTTGGTGTATGAGCCTGCCTAGTTGTTTTATTGCACAAAATTTGCTGGTACGAAATGGACCTGGCTTCTCTCCACTGACGAGGTCCCTCCGCTGCCCTCTACCCAAAACACTACCGTTTTGGACGCAAAATGAGGGGAGCTGATTGCTTTTTTTTTTTTTTTTTTTGTATTTTGAAGTTTTTTTTTAGTAGCTCCCTTTTTTTTGTATTTTTGTTTTTTTAAAGCCAGGTCACTAAAAGAATATTTTATAATACTGAATGCAACAAAAAAATTATTTTAGGATATTTGATGCTTATGAAAAAAATATTTTAAGATGCTAAATGTATCAAAAAATATTTTAGAGTATTAAGTGTACCACAAATTATTATGAAACATTAGGTGCTACCAAAAAATATTTTAGATGCTGCTAAAAAAAACTTCAAAATACAAAAAAAAAAAAAAAAAAAAAGGCAATCAGCTCCCATCATTTTGCACCCAAAACGGCAGTGTTTTGGGTAGAGGAGGGACGTTGTCAGCAGAGAGAAGCAGGTCCGAAATATGTTACTAGTCAGAAATTAAAGATAGCTGTTGTACCAAAAAAAAAATTAAAGGAAAGTGAGCAAATCATTACCGAAGAAGTAAAACCACTGAAAAAGATAAATAGTTCATTTTGATGCTTTAAATCTGTTTTTATTGAAGAAAATTACAAAATTAAAAATTTGACCAAAAGCAAAATAGAAGACAATACATTGATCAAATTCTTTATAATTATTATATCAAGTTTCCAAATCACATTATATTTTTCACATAAATTTAGGATTAAAACATATAAAAATAAGGCACATAACAAATTGTGCTTAAAGAACTTAACATACGTTTTTTCTATAAAAAAAAAATTTATTACCTAAAAAAGAATTTAAAAAAATTGCAGAACCCTTTCCAACAAAACACTCGTGCACGCATAAGGATCCATGATGGCCCGATTTTGCATTTTATGATATTTCTCCTTTTACCACCCAGAAGGGGAGGAAACGCTATTCTACTTCCATGGCCTCTTTGTGAATACATTTTTTTTTCCTGGAGAGGGAAGGGGCCTTTGTGGCAATTTTATTTCTTATTCCTCCGAGGGTGGGGATTTTTGTACCATTACTTCTTAATTATTCTGGCCTCCCCAACCCCAACCGGAAAAAAAAAAAAAAATTTAACGTCTTTCTAAAGCGCAGGACGACCACATTCCTGAAATTATGCAATTTGAAAAATGTGCCACGTTGGATACGACTGCAACGTAAGCATCACCATCACTTATTGATCACATGAATATATCGTGTCTAATAAAATGAAAGAACCTCTACACTCACAAATTTATGAACAGAAAAGAATGAGAACATCACCCTCACGATTTCCCAACTACTTGTTATGTACAGATAGATAATCCACAAGAAAAACTAACTCGTGATATTATGGCGAGCTGGCTATGGATCAGGCTGGTATGCTGGCCTCTCAACATCCCCGTTTGGAAGTGTGCTTACCTCCACTCCATTCTCATGTTCCTGAAACAAGTCAATTTTGCCATTTCAGCTCAATGATCACATCTGGCTATGAACTCAACTCTGATCAGTCGCGTCGTTCATGAGATGATCGCGATTTTAATGTCTAGCATGTTTTTGCTATATCTCTAGATCAAGTCTAGACGTTGCATCTATAAGTCTAGATGTTGCATTTTGTAAAATAAAAACATATATGATTTCAACCAAAAACAAAAAACAAATGACTTGTCAAAGCGTTCAAATAATCCATCCTAACTGTCCATTTGATTATCAAATCTCTACTCTATTCATAAAATCTAATTGATTATCACACCGTTGGATAGGTTGCATTAGACATTCAGGTTCCTAGATAAACTGAGAGCAACGTGGACCACGACCCTCGGAAATATTGAACCCAGTGCATGGGAAGAAAGAGTGAGGAGTGAAAACCAATCAAGTGGGTCTCATCTACTCCCCATCCCCACCATATGCCATATTTAGGAATCATGATCCTCTACAGTAATGTGATATGCATGCAAAAGACAAGATAATATAGAAGAGAGGAGGTGCGTATAGAGTCTGCTTATTCTCTTTTTCATCCATCCTAATTTTTTCTCGATTTCCCTCTAAAAGCACGGAACTCTTACTAATTTCCCTTTTATACGCCACACAGGTATAGTTACAAAAAGAATGCTTTGAGAGATAATATATCAATAACCAGATCAAATGCTGAAGCCATGTGAACATTCTAAAGAGAGAAGCCATTCTTTCACTAGACATGTGTATCTAATAGAAATTTGGATACGTACTTCTGCAGGAAGATCAACTGGAAACAAATTGATGGCTGCTGCGTTGAATGTGAATCCACTGAAGACACAATTAATTGCTCAAATCAGTTACACGTACATAAAAGGTAAAAAAATAATAATAAAAATTAAACAGATGGGTAGGAAGGAAATGGAAAAACTTATAATCAGGAACATAGTCTCTTTGTGAGTATCTATATCCCTCATCGGAGGATCAGTGAACCCCTCACGAAGATTGATCATAGAAGCAGAAAGAAGTTAGGTTCCCATGCAAGCGTATAAATCCAATTACACCAACTTTCAAACTACAGGAGAAGTAAATAAATTCAAAATATCTCAAGAATATGCAGATAAGAAGTGGAACAAATCATACCATCGGGATAAGACTAGCTGCCAAACGTATGGCATAAAAAATTCCTCCGGATGACTCTCTTGTTCATATGTGAAGCGCAGCTGAGTAAACATCTGTCAAACACATACGACATGCTTCATGTAAACCGAGGAAGCAATGCTCCTTGTGATAATTCTCATTACATGTAAGCACAAATTAGACAAATCTTTTTCATTGTACCTTCATCCCCTCGCCACGCCAAGATCGACAATTGACAATTATCACCTGAAGCACTTCGTTGACTGACCAGTCACCATCCCCTCTTTGAGCATCCATACGACTATTGAAAAAATCTAACACCTGTAATTTTCATGTTGATTACATTATTCAAACACTGAAACCGTGGTGTATTATGCAAAGAGAAGTACCACGAACGCAACAGAAGAGAAGTGAATCTTTCTCCAGCAAGAGTTCCAAGCTTTAAAAAAGGAGGTAGGTACGATGAAGATTCAATAAAATATATGAAACATACAGTATAAATGTTATCAAGCAGCTCATTGAAGCGTGGATGATTCTTAAATGGCTGAAAAACTTCCTGCCTGTGCATTATTGCATATACTACCTGCCCCATTCAAATATGAAAAAAGCATCTACATGTAAATATAAAGGAACCAAATCAAAATAGATGGGATAAAATCAACAATCAATCAAATCATACCTCAGGGTTCCGAGGCAGGGCATAACTCAGGATAGCATTTATAATTTCAAGTACAAGCCTCAAGAAGTCAGTATAAATTTGCAATTCAGTTGACTGCATTGAAAGAAATACGATTTAGCAAAAGGGATATTAAGTTTATAATAATTAGAACCACAAAAAGCACAAAGACCAAAGCTTATACCACATCCTCTCTGAGGCCATTTCCTTCAACCGAGTTGCCATTTCCAATATGAAGTTTATTATGTCTGAGATCTGCTAATTTGTTGTACCTAATGAGAAGGCAATGATATGATCACAGTTATGCCGGAAAAAAATAGAAGGTACTCACAAATATATAGATATAAACATGGAGATAGTAAAGGACAAGAAATAGAAGTGACGTACTTGCGTGATAGCATATCAAAAAGTCCAACTAGTCTCTGTGATGCATATGCACTCAGACGGTGAACATGAGGCGCCATGTTTGCCAAAGTTGCTAAACACGTTGTATGTAGATACACATCCTAATCATAATAAAAAAGATAATTTTAAAAAAGTACCAACAACTTTTCCAGGACTAAAAGCATCAATACACACCGATTGGTATATTATGCAAATAATTACTATTTTCTACAATATGACCATCTAATTGCCATCCACTAATGAAATTAATTGGCAGGGGAATGCATATTCAAAACTAAACCATATATTTCATAGAGATTTTATTGTTTTGCCTGTACCACTGGGGTAAGAGGAGAAAGCAGGGCAAAAAATATTTTTACAGTCAAATACACACAAAATAGGAAACTGTTTTTTCTTGAGCATGAATGTAATGACTATACAATTAGCAACATGATTCAGGTCAGCGGAAGAAATAAAATTGAAATGCTATGCAGAAATTTCCATTATAATTCTCCAGCACTCATTCTTCCCATCCCCCTTTTTGTCGGTTTTTCATCTTTCCCAGCCCAAGATCTGATATAAATATAATGCATCTACCTTTTCCCCATCCTTTACAAATCAAACAGGATCGTCATTGGAAACCGTATTTGGATACCTCTAACTCGAGATGCTGTTGTTCTTTATCAATATTGCTAACATATGACATGTGAAGTGTTAAGTTTATGAAGATAAGTGAAGGTCAAAAACAACGTGAGGTGCAGTTTAGCATTAGAAGCCAATGCAATTATGAGCTTTTTGAAGAATACCTCTAGTTGAAAATTGAGTCGGTTCAGAACAAAAAAGTTTCACAACGCTAAAATCTATCACAATCAATGGCATTAAAACTTCAAAATTATATCTGGCTAGGAGAAACTCCAAAATTGTATAGTCAAAAAATGCTAAATAATCATAAGATCAGTATACACAACCCATATGGTTTGAATTATATAAACAATCAGCAAGAAGAGTCATTTTGAATAAACAAGAGCGAGTAAATTAAAAGCTTGACTAGGTTTATGACTCATACCCGTAATTTAGACAAATTATATTGTACAGTTCTGATAAGAATTATAACCATGAGAGAACCAAGAGATGTCTGATGGAGGAGACGTTCTTTATACCAGGGAACACCAGGCAATATCTGTTCGGGCATAAGCCACATTAGCATAAGCCTTGAAATTTTAGGATTAAGCCCAATAACACAACACAGAATTTTCTTACCAGTTTATGAATGCTTGCATTGAAAGAAGAATCCTGACTGAGTATGAGAAGTATGATCAGCAACATGTAAATTTGATTGGCTGTCTTATGTGACGCATTGTATAACGCTTCAAGAATGGGCATCAACTGTTGGTTTCAGAAACAGGCAGTTACTGATATGATAGTAAAGAGATCCATGTTTCTGAAGTTAAAGAGCATAAACCAAACTTCCTCTGAAAATTCTTCCACTGACTTCCACACGAATTATATTGATTCCAAATTTTTTCTTCGTATAGAGTTAAGTTACGACATCATACCAATGTATCTAGATCAGTCCGCACCAGGACATATTCTAGGAATGCAGAATTCCCCTGCAACAATGAATAAAGCAAAAGTACCGCAGTCTCATCAGCCAAGCACCTGCGCAGAAGTAACCAGTTATAAAAATACTGTAAGAAGGGCGTAGAAGTCAGCAGAAGAATTTCAATACATATTTTGGAGTATAATTCAGTAAAAACAATAGGAAAGCAAGATCCAGATGTAGTAGTCAATTGGTTCAAGATGCACACTAGTAGTCAACTACTTACGTGCCAAGGGTATCAAATAATGACGCAAAAGGCAACTTTACATGTGGACCACTGCTAGCATTACCCTCAACATCTACACGATCCACTGCAGACAGAGCATTGATCAAAATTGCTAGTATTCACAATCAACCAAAAGAATATAAATAGAAATAGAAGATATATTACATTCAAAATCAGTTGCATGTTCTAAGGCCTTGCAGTAAGGGTTGTCAGAAAAATAAGTTACTTCTTTCTGTAACGTATCTGACACAGCAGTTTTGTCATTCTCATTGGCACCATAGTCCTTGCTCGCAACACATTTGTGATAATGAATGAGAACAAGAAGCACATGGAGACTGCTATCTGCTAAAGGACTTCTCGGTTCCCCACTGCTTGAACTGATCAAATAACTGAATGGCAATAAAACAAAATTTGCTGCAGGGGAAAGAAAAAATGAAATGACAAAAGACTAAATTACTCTCCATATTTTAAATTAGAATCTTGCAGAAGTAAGATAATTAATGTTATTTAGTCATCATACCAGCTGCAGAACCAACTCTCTGTAAAACGCCCCTCTCACTTCCTTCATTAAAGATGGAATAAGATGCTCTATTAAAAGGGATATTGGGGCGGGTTATATAATTCAGAAGCAGTCTGTGAACAAAAGAACTAACTAGAGAGGTGTCCTGCAAAAATAACAGTACGTCAAGAGCAAATTTGCTATCTGCAAACATGAAGTAATTCATCAAACCAAGTTTCATGCTGCAATTTCATCCACTCACCTGAGCCATTGCTGCATCAAGAAACGGGTTCACATCATTTGGTCTGGGAGATGGCCCACACAGAAGCTGAGTTGACATTGCAATAAGCATGAAATTAAGCAGCTCCAGGTGCAAGAGATATGTGTTGGGACTAGAGTAGAAAAAGGTCACATTAGGAAACGTAATACGTTCAGAGACCCAAAAACATTTAACAGCTCCAACTATTAATTACCTCACGTCTACTGATGTTATAAAGGTAAGCACGTTCCGCATGACAAGATTTTCAATGGTTTGATCTGCATTAAGATGAAAGTTATATGTGTGCGCGTGGGTATGCATGCATACATACATACATACATACATATACATATATATATATATATATATATATAAAAAGAATGCCAGAAACATATACATTGGAGAGACAGAAAATTTTCATAAAAAAGCCATTCCAAAAAAGAAAGAGCAAAGACAAAGAATAAAGATCCATTTTAAATTACCTGCCAAAAATCCTAAACATATCACAATAGACTTGAGGAAAGGAATTTATAATCTAAACCCTCTTTTTTTTTTGGGGCAAATTAGGTGTCAGAAAATTTCAATCTTGACAGTAATCTGACATTCATACAAGCAATAAATCTCATACCAAGTTCCATGTTAAAATTGATTTTCATTTTCCAAATCTTAATTTGATTAAAGAATATAACTCAAAGTGGAAGGCCCACAGCCAGATCACTGAAGTTAACTGTGTCCCAATATATTATTTAACCCAAAACAGTAAGAGCAGAGAAAATCAAGCATTCTAAAGTATTAGCATAATATAAAGTTGCACTGACACAACACTGAACGATACATACCTCCCAAAATACCCTTTGGTATTGATTCATTTTCATCTAGCAATAGATGTAACTCCAGATCATCACCTTGGACATTTTCAATCAAATGCTTCAAAAATATTGAAGTAATGTACACGGCATTAACAGCCTTTTCATAAACCACTGGTGGTACACCAGATGATGACATGGATTCCTGCAAGTAGCATGCTAGATGGAACAAAATTTTTGAAAGATGCTTGGTGCGATGATTGTTTTTTGCTGCAAGAAAGATGCAAGGAAACAAGCGATAGTCAAATATTACAACAATGGAGTGAACAGGAACAAGTCTATTTGGCTACAAGTGATCTGAAATAATGTTTATTATATGAGAAAAAAGGTGCTCTCTTTAAGACCATAATAAGCATTTCACCCAAAATTTTTGGGGTCTAAAATTGAATGAGCACTTCGATCCAGCACGTTAGGGACAGAAAAGCTGAAAGTTCTAATCCAATGGATTGATTCGTTAGTGTAGTCAATTTTTGAACTCAAAAATTCAATGGAGAAATCACAAAAGTATGCTAAACTCCATGATATAATCATTTTTAGATAAAAATGCATTCTCTGATGTATACACTCCTACTAATTCTATTAGACCATGATTCTTAAATAACGGAATTAGCCACGAATTGAGAACTATAGCACGCAATTGAAGCTTCCCCTTAAAACCATTATTTTCCTAGTTAATGATTATGAGTAGTAATTGTAATATCACTCACCCAGCAGCTCGCACGCTTGGTGAACACGGTCGGTGGGCCATCGAAGATCGAAAGGAAGCTCGAGCAATTTCTGCCAGAACTCGGAGGAAAGCGGGAAAGACTCGCCACCGACGAAGGTTCCGATGAGATACTCCGCCGTGTCCTGTGAGAATGCACCGCTCTTCCGCGGAGTTGAAGGCACCGACCCCATATGTTGAATGGGTTTGACGTGCTTGACTCGGTTCCTCAGTAGTTTGTTGGGTCGTCGACTCTGATCTAAGCTATACAGTGAGCGATCCTCCTTGTGCTGCTGGCAGATTCACGTAAACGACATTGTACAAACTGACACAGAGATCAAGAGGACTCGATCCCGAGAAGAAATGAGAGATAGGAATTGAAAATCTGAGAAGTTCGTGAAGCACACGAGGAGGAACAGAGAGAGAGAGAGATAAAAGGAAGAGGAGCTTCAGAACGAAGGTTTTTGGAGGACTTTTGAGAGAGAGAAACGAAAGACTCGTTTGCTTGGGCGTTTTCTGTTTGGATGAAATACGTCATTCTCTTGCCCAATAGACCATATTGCCCTTCTAATGGACTGAAATTCAAGGGAGGCCCCTATTATGAATAAGCACTGCTGCGGTGATAAATGTAAAAAGGAGTTTCTGTTCGTGCTGAAGGGAAACACCACTCCATTTTACCGTTTAAATTTACTATTTGTTGTCTAAATTTTCTCTATTAATTAAAATTATTAAAAGAGTTTTCATCATATAATTTTCAATACAAAAGTTTATTTAACAAAATCACATATATTTTTTTATAAATAACTAATTATTTTAATTTTTATAAATTAGTTATCTAGCTTTCTATATTTAGAGCCAAAGAAGTAATGTAAAAAATATTATTATTTGTCCAAAAAAAATATTATAGTAGTTTTTGGTCAGGGAATAATAATGTTGCGATCGTTTCACTTTTAAAGGAATGCTTGTTTTAATTTCACAACTGACTAATATTGATTCTGTAATTATAAAGATTAATTATTAGAGAAGTAAATTTAAATAAAAATTATAAAAAAAATACTTAATTAAGACAGATTTTATAACTGGGTTGGGGAGAAGATGATGATGATGATAATTCGTTGAACCTCCCCAGTTCTTTGCTTACGGATGAGTAAACTAGTTGGATTTGTATCTTTAAAATATGCTCTCTCTAAGTGAGCGATTTATGTTTGCATAAAGCTTGAGATAAATTATATTATTTATAACTTGTAAACAGCCTGATTTTTTATGTTTATATATTTATTTTAGGGAAAATCCCAGAAAAAGCTTTTGGAATATACCAAATCCCAGATTGGGTCTTTAAATTTCGAAAATGACAGAATGGGTCATTGACCCAATTTGTCATTTGTGAAATTCAGGCGAATTGATATTTTTGCTCCTGAGCAAAAGTGAGTAGTTATTCTCTAAACAAATCTAGGTAACGCTTACACTGTTTTAGTGATTATAAAATTCGTTGTAGTTAATAATAAGGTACCTGACAATAATAAGATACCTGACTATGAAAAAATGAATAATTATTCTCTACACAAATCTAGGTAATGCTTACATTGTTGTAGTGATTACAGAATTAGTTGTAGTTAATAACAAGACACCTAACTATGAAAAAGTGAGTAGTTATTCGCTACACGAATCTAGGTAACACCTAAACTCTTATAGTGATTCTTTGAATCATTGTAGTAAATGAATAAATGAGGGCAAAATTGTCAATTTGCCTGAATTTCACAAATGACAGATTGGGTCAATGACCCATTCTGTCATTTTCGAAATTTAAAGACCCAATCTGGCATTTCCCATATTCTAAGGACCTTTTTTGGGATTTTTCCCTTTATTTTATGATGTTTTAAGTGTTCTAAAAAGCTTACGAGAATACAAATATAAACATGGCATCAGTTTGAGTACTCTTTTTAAAGTGTTTGGGAAAAAATAGGTAGCCCCATATTCAAACTAAAAGAAAGAAATGTTTCAAATATTAATAAAATTATAAAATCTGGATATTTTGCCACTGAAAATTTAGTCCCTTTTCTTTGTTTCCGAGGGCATACAAAATAATAAAAAAACCATTTAACAAAATAAATATGATTAATGGACGTGATCAAAATTGATATCATCATACACACATTAAAAAAAAAAGTGCAAACGATTTTTTTTTTTTGGCTAAGTCTGAAATCTCACATTGTTCACACTCTTGCACCATTTATTGTCCTCAAGGGCAATTGTTCTAAGCTTATATTTTAAAAAAAAGTTGGCAAAAAATATTTTTTCAAAACAAAAACGTTAATGTAAAATATAAAATATGATGTGGTATGGGATATCTGTAATTTTCAAAATAATATAAAATATTAATGATGATAATTTGTATTCTCAATTTCACTTTGAAAATATTAAAATTAAAGTGACGTTGTCATTTCTATTAAAAAATTAATGTTAACCATTAAAAATAAATATTAAATATCAATATTTTTAATAAAAAGTATGGTATTGAGCTCAAAAAAAATTTCAAATATTCGTAACACCTTCGCGAATATTTTTAAGACAAAAATAACTCTCAACCCAATTATTGACAACTTTACAACCAAAGATGACATTTATCAAAAATCAAGTCAAGGCAAGTAATTTGCGGTTAAACGGAAAAATTAACACTTCTAACTAAAAAGTAAATTGCACAGAAGTCCCTTAACCTTTGTCAAATTACACATATTTTTCTTATCTTTTTAAGACTTACACAATCTTCTCTTGAAAATAAAGAAGCCCGCTTAAAAATACAATTAAACTACATAAATATCCTCTAATTATTTTTAAAATTATTTAGACCTCCCTTTTATTTTTAGGGGAGGGTTGCTTTTATTTTGAAACTGGACAGGAATCCTGTATAATCTTTAGAGAGGTTGGCGTGGATTTTAGAAATGAAGAAAGATATGTGTAATTTCTTACAAAATTTAGAAATATATTTTTATTGATTTTCCACAAATAAAAAGCAAAAGTTACCTTTAAGATTTTGGCAAAATGCAAGAAAATTTGTGAACTTTATTTTGAAATCTTTCTAATATATAATGATTTTCAATTGTTAATTATACTCAAGATTATCATACCTATTACTTATGTTTAAAGGCTATTATAAATGCTAAAACATATTTACTTGTATTTATATTTTTTTGGTCAAATGTATTTATATTTTCAAAATTTTCAATTAACTTAATAAATTTCAACTAGATCATGAAAAAAAAATTCTTCTGATATATTGATTATAAATAGTTAATAAAAATATAATAATTTTATTATTTCATGTTAGTGACAAATCAATTAATTTAATTATAAAAATATTTTTTTTGAAACGACTTAATTAGCGTTTCATGCCGTTCATGAAGTCTCAGATATTCCTCTTCAATATTTTATGAATAATATAATTTTGTGTATATTTTATGTTAAACATGGGATGCATTATTAGTTTTCGAATTAGTACAATATAAAAAAAAAATTTGTGGCAAAAACTTAAAGTTTTTTCTTTTGAGACAACATTTGGTAATTAGTTAAGACTAGCTATTTTATTTCTTTTTTCTTTTTGCCTTTGGTCCAATGCTATTAACAATTTAAATCATGAATATTTGACATTAATTTCAACAAATAAAATATTACTAGTATTTCTATAATATCTGAGGTCTCCAGAAAAGACAAGGTTTTGCCTCTCTGAGTCGGTAAGGTTTGTCTCCATTTTCTGATTTAGTCTTCTCATCCAAAACAAGTGGCGAGAGCAACGTTGAAATTTCTAGTTTTTTTAATTATATATTTTTTGGACATTTTATATTGTGATTGTGGACGGCTTACCTCAAGTTATAATTATAAATGAATAAAAATGGAGAATAATCACAAATTGAATCCAAAAAAAAATTATGCTCTTCTTGAAATGTTATACAACTCTTCTCTTTTATATACATGTGTGTCTTGTTACCTCTTTTTGCAACAAATATGTGGACCCCAAAAAAATCCCCATAATAAATGAGTTTGTTGTCATTGTGGGAGAAAATTTCAAGGAAAATGACAAAAAAAGACTATGAAAATTACAAATTATCATATTAAAAATTCTCTTAAAAATGATTTGAAATTTTGTAATTTCTATAGTCTTGATTTGTCATTTTCTGAAATTTTATAGTATTTTTTTTTTGGGTAACATAGTAATTTTATCCACATATTAATAGACAAGAGGGTACGTGGCAAAAGGCAAACTGTCTTCGAAGTAGCTAAGGAAAGATGGGGGCGGGGGCAAATACACCACCGGGAGCCTTGCTTGTCCGACACGCGCCTAATGGATCAGCGGTTGTTAGATCTCCATCGTTGTTGACCTGGAAGACTTATGAGTCGGTAAACTTTGACTCTTCATCATTTCATATTTTTATTGCCATCACAAAACCATTACTAGTTCTGGTGCTAACCCTCATTTGGATGGAGAGGAGAAAAAAAAAAAAAGAAAGAAAATAAGGAGAGAAGTGTGTTTTCCCCCCTGCTTGGATGGAAAGGAAAAATGAAAGGAAATAAAAGTTAGAAAGAAAATAAGGTGTGAGACTTATCCTATTTTTTCCCCAACTTTTCTTTCTACACGTAGAGAGAAAATGAGAAGAAAACTCATTTTTTCGTACTTGTCCTTGTCTCCTTCACACATTCTTTTTTCTTTTTTTGTTCTGAATATTTGCACGCGTAAGCTCTCAAATCTAGCTGCGCCTTCCATCTCTTCCTCAACTCCACTCAAAATCGTTCTTCCATTCATCAAAACAGAGTTTCTCTCTTGCTGCATCTCTAGTATATGCACCCAAATCTTGTCTTGTCATTGAGTTTTCTTTGCTCAAGTGTGTTTCTTTCTTTTGCTTTGTGCTTTTTCTCCTTTTTGGTTTGGGATGTTAAAAAGTAGTCCATGAGTATTGCTACTAGTTTTCTATTTCTGAAATTTGTTGGGGTTCTCCTGTTATGTGCTTGCCATAAGTGAAGTTTCTGATTCAGATTTAAACAATAAAATTTTCAGATTATGTGATTTTATAGCAAGTGAAACAAAATTTAAGCTGTTCAATGGTTTGATTCTAAAGTTTTTGAGCATTTCTTCTCATGTTTTTATTTTATTGTATTTATGCCTGATCTTGATTATATGAATTTATCTATTTTTGTTGGAGGTTTAGCTCTTCATGAATGAGGGAAAACTTATGTAGAGGTGCTATGTTGGCCAAACCATAAGATCAAATGCTTTAGAAAAGTTGATTATCTTTAAGAAGGTTGATATTAGAGCCTTAAAAATGCTACCTAAAGTGTTTTGTTCAATTAGCAACTATAAAAACAATAGTAATAGTTCTGTCATTTGGAGAGCAATGAGATGAGTAGATAGATAGGAACTCTAGATTGCAATGTCTTTCCCAAACAGTCTATGTCCTTCAATTTTGGTAGTTCACGACTTCACATCAATGCAAAT